CTGTCTAGTGAGATACACTGGCATTTTCTGGGCACATTGGAACTGTCAGTTTTTTACCTGTGTCTTTCTCATCATGAAGTTTCACCTTAATCTTCTCTCACACTTTGTATAGTGAGCAGGCATTCACAGTGTGTCTGGAAGAAGTGTTATTTTTGATAAAGTGCAAAGGTTGCTAACCCTGTCCGTCCCTCTGTCAAACAGAAAATGACTGGCCTTACACTGGGGTTTGCTGCTACCCCAGCTAACCTAGCAACTAGTATCTACAAGAAAGGCAGGTTAGTAGCTAGAGAAAAAAACATACTATGCAAAAAATCAAAGGTGGAAAATAGGCTTCTTGGTTATTTCTACCCCATTTTTGTAAGTGCCCTGTATTTCAAGACATTTTTGCTTTTATTTTTGGGCTCACATACAAAAGCTGGGCAAAAACTGAATAAAAAAACCCACCTAGACACCTTCCTGTGTGATCTCATTTAGGTTCCTGCTCTGGCAGGGGGGTTGGACTAGATGATCTTTCGAGGTCTCTTCCAATCCCCAACATTCTGTGATTCTGTGAAATTTACCTCCCACCTACTTTGATCAAAGACTAAATCAACTAGCCATTGAACTGATTGACTAAAAAGAAGGTTTTGAGCACTGTAAATATTGGTAACTATACTGTTAACTTTCTACCAGTGGCTTTTAAAAAGTAACATGACATCTTTATTCTATGCCATCAATGTTAATTGAGAATATTATGCCAAGCCAAAAAAAATCTTCCCTCCCTCCTAACGGTTCCAGTGTCAACAGAGCAGAACTACTGCAGCATTCTCTGGGCAGAGTTTGAAAAGCTTCTTGACCATAATGGGTAGGAAAAATTACTGGGTGGACCCCATTTATTCCTCCCATGTCTGGACAGTAGGTGCCTGCAGCCTGCATAATCCTCGCAGGGACCTTGGTCCAAGGGATGTGGCATCACACTGCAGATGCTGCAACGGAGGGGGCACACAGAGGGACACAGCCACCTTGGTCTTTTGCTGTGCTGTCTCTTGCAGGGACCCCATAAAGCTGAGACTTGGTTCTTGGCACCTCAAGGCAGCTCCCAGAAGGGGGGGCTGCCTGAAGGCACATCTGCGGGTGGGACACACTCTGTTGTCTTTTGTTATAAAAAGCTCTCCTATTAGCCTGAAACAGGTCCTCTGCTCCAAGCCAGTATTTGACAGTGTTGTAATACAAGGCTCAACTGCCCAGGTTTTAAGGTCTTCCTGAGAGCGCTAATGTTTCATTAAAATCAGTCAGAGGAGAAAGCCCATAGCTTATCTCAGAGGAGAGCCCTCAGCTCCAGCAGCTCCTAAGAGCAGGCAAGGAAGTCCATCAAATCAAATCAGTAATTCCTCCCTTCAACTTCCTTGAGTAACAGGCATCTTGAGCATCCCGGAAGGGATTTGTTTGCCATATAAACACACTTGTTCTTTCTTTTTGATGAACGATTCAGCTTTTCAGCTGTGAACGTTGAGCTGTAAAGTTCCCGTAAATCCCCTTACAGTCTGTGGCCAGTTGCTCTATAGAGACTGATCCAGAGATCCAGGATCACGTACTGCAGAACCACCAGCAGACACTACCTGGATTATGTCTGTCCAAGCTCCAAAGTGAAGGACATACACATGTGATCTTTTAATGTTGATCATCAGAAGATAAGACTGGATTATCCATGCTGGATGTTATAATTAGCGCATTAAAGTCTCAAAAGCCTTATAAAGTTAAGATGCTGAAAGCTATTGGTAGTAAACATTTGGTGTCACATTTAAGAACAGCACCTAGGGCTTTTTTTAAGCTGTGAGAACTTCCTGAAGTAGAATTCACTTGTCTGTATGCTTATTTATCGTTCATACTGTTGTTGGCTTTGATAGCGAAAATGTACTTGTCAGACACAATTTTGTTTTAATCAGTTTGTGGTTATTTTCATTCTGTGAGTTTGATTCATTTGCCTGAAGTCCACAGCCTGTAATTTCCAAATATAATTAGGACTTGTCACTGGGAATGCTAGAATTTTAACTTCCCTGGAAAACTTCAGTGGGCTTAGGTTTGCCACCTGAGTTTTCAACCATATTTGATCTGGCACATTCCTTTAATCTGTGTAACCATTATCATACACTGGTATCCAGCATAACACTAAGTAAATACCAGCAAAAAGGGATCTGACCCTGTCAGATCTTCTGACCCTGTAAAAATCTTTTGTCTTTAGGAGCCAAGACTGTTCAATGGCCCTCCAGACTTTCATAATCTTGCTTTTCTATGATCAAACCTAAGGCCACTTCATGGCTGTCCTGCCACTGGCTTTAAAGGATCTTGGGCCAGGATGATCATGGGAATGGAGCAAGTTGAGAAAGGGACTGGGCATACGGCTAACTGCCCAGAGCTCAGAAATACTTAATTTTTGGTTGTTTGTGATGTATCTCATTCAATTTGATTTTATTTGGAAAAAGAGGCTCTGAACTCGAGCATTACTGATTGTACATGGGGGCCAGTTTGCCCATGTAAATATTGGGGCATCCTGAAATGGGAAGAACATAAAATTCACAGGAGGTGGTGAGGGATACCCCTGACTCTGACAGTCCAGCTGATGGAAGAATGAAGAGCTATTTCATTTGAGCTACACACCCTCATTTTCAAACAAGCTCCACTGCATCTGCTGTTTATAAAGAGTGTTTAATGCAGGAGCTGTTGGCAGGTACAACTGCTTAAAACTTGACTGTAATTCATGATTAATACTCTGCAGCACATTAAAGAAATCTTTTCAGAAGTTTCCAGGCAGCTTCAATACATAAGCATTTCCCTTGAAATATGGAGGGTGTCAGAGGAAGGGATGGCATCCATTCTTAGCACTGGGGACATACCCTACATGAAGAGTGATGCTCTTTTTTTCAAGTTTTGTAAGATAGGTTTCCATTTGTAAACAGACTGACAGCTCCATATCTGCATTGTACCCACAGTGTATTGTTTTTAATCTGCCTGGAAATGTGTCATTCCTGAGCTGCTCCACGTTGCTGGGACACCAGCACTGAGGCTATTTTTATTCAGCAGGCTGCTTTGGCCCTTGGTGACATGAAGAGGTTAGGGATGAGGCAGCAGGTACATTGCTAGAGAGGAGCAATTTGTTTCTCTGAGTGATTGCTCTCTGTGGCAAGATGTGCTTTACTTTGCTCATTGCTAGAAAGGTATTGGGCATCTACAGATTTCTTGCAGCCTGTCATAGCTTGGCAAAATTCAGTTGAAAAGAAGTTTCAATTGCCTTCTTCCTGTGCTCTCATGCTCTAAGCATAGATAATAAAAATATACCAGGTTTCCTTATGGCAGGCCAGAATCGTTGCTTTCACTGGTAATTTTCTTTTTAATAGAAGAATGATCCCTGATATGGACAAGAGGTGCTTTCGTACTGTTTCAGTCTGACATCTTTGCCCTAGCCTTAAGAAAATTGTTTTCAATCATGAGTTGACTTCCCAGTAAAGCATTCTTCTTTCTTGTGGGCCTAGAGACTTTGGAAAGTATGCAGAGTATTGAGAATGTGAATTTTTATGTGAATTACTTGCTCTGATTTCAAGTTATTATTAAGCCTTGCCAATGAAAGTGCAAACAAAACCATGTCTGCAGGGGATATGGAATAGACATTGCTGCACATTGTAATCAGCCTCTCTTGAAGATTCATTTAATACCTTGCGTATTTTTTTATGAAATGCATTATTCATATAACGAGATTCAGAGAGAGAAGCAGCTGAATTGTAATTTCTGGGAAGAGTCTTTTTCCAAGAGATGGCATTTTCATTATTTAAATCAATGCAGCAGGTCTTGCCTGCATGAGGGAGGCATGAAGTGAAGGGAACAGCCTGTAGATGGGGCACTGAGTCAGTCAGTTCCTGCCTCTGAAGGGAAATAAAACAATCCATCCAGTAATTTAAGCCCTTTTTGGGTCAGTAGGTAGCCATTTGAGACATCATTACACTTCGTAGGGTTTTTTTTTTTCCTTTGTGTTAGGAGCACTTAAGAAAATAGTAATCAACTAACACTTACTCAGTGGAAAAGTTTTCCTCTTATAAAAATACTGCTTGCGAGCTTCTTTACCCACTGCTGTTTCCTAGAGAGTGCTCCCTCGGCTCTTCATTGAGTTCATCTGCCCAGCCATGTGAAAGGACATTGCTTCTTGTTTCAGGGTCTACAATAAAAGTTCCACATGTTTATATTGCAATTCTTTCTTATTTTCATAACCTTATGTAAACCACTGTATTTAATTTACACAGGCTCAGCCCTGTTACGCCTAAGACCTCACTCCATCGATGATCCCACTGAGATCAGTAGGTCTGCTCAGAGATAACAAAAACACAAATAACACCAGCAGAGTTTAAGCTCAGCTTAATAATACAGTGGTACAGACTAATTGCTTAAGCAACATTGTGTGCTGTACGTCTTTTGCAGCACAGCTGATGGCAAACTTATTTTAAGTGAGTATTTAGGAATTTAATTCATGTATATAATAATTTAATTATGTTAATGACACAAAAAAATAGGATGTCACAGCTGATTTTGAGACACTTCCTAAGAAGAGGGATTCTCTTTTTATTGACGGTCCCCCTTCATCCCCATATAGCCATCTTATAGACAAGTGTCCCCTTTTGTCTTCCTCTCACCCTCCCCTTCCTGCAAAGGATGGGAAGCTTCCCAGATCCCATCTCTCAGGCCTTTAATCATGCAGGTGACAGCAGAGCTTGCTGGTGTCAGTGAGAGCCAAAAGCAACCCCCCCCAACACACACTGGGCGGTGGGAGGTGTGTGCACCCATCCACTGCTGCAGATGGACACCTGGCCTCCTGGCAGCACCAGTCTGGTACCACTGAGATAAACCCCAAAGCTGCAGGGAGCCTGACAGGGAGCCTGAAGCGTGCCCTGTGTATATTGACACACTGAAGCTATCCAGCAGCGGATTGCTGGCGTTAACGTCTTTCTCCTTTTCTCTTTGATTATTTGCCCAAGTTTGTCCACTACCTCCAATGGTGAGTCATGGAGACTACATCTGCCACCCACGGCCTTGTGAGCGTTACAACCACGGGACGGTGGTGGAGTTTTACTGTGATCCTGGTTACACCCTCACCAATGACTACAAGTACATCACCTGCCAGTACGGAGAGTGGTTCCCCTCCTACCAAGTATACTGTGTCAAAACAGGTAAGGGAGCAGCAACTTCTTCCCTCCTTCTTAGAGCACATGTGTTGGTCTGTAATGCCTGGTGAACTTCATCTGTTTCACTGTTAAATGAACACTTGATTTGAAGATGCTAGTAAATACAGTATATTTTTATTTCTGAGATCCTGAATGATGCTAAACCATTTCAATCGTTAGCTCTTCAAATGCATTTTTTAAAATCTTCTGGATTTTTTTTATATGTATATAAGTTGAGATCGTAGTTGCATATATAAAAAAAATCAAGGGGAAAAAGCAAGGTCCAGCCCCTGTAGCAGCTTAATGTTAAGGTTGCTTTTGGTATACGGCATTGGGTTCGTGTGTGCTTTTACAACGTATGTATAAAAGATGTCTTGTCCTAACTGACATTTCTGAGTATTGTTGCAGTATTATTATAAAATAATAATGGTAATAGTCAAGCACAACTCTTGTATTACCTTTTTTTACAGAACAAACCTGGCCAAATACACAGGAGACCCTCTTGACTACATGGAAAATAGTGGCGTTTACTGCTACCAGTGTTTTATTAGTACTGCTACTGGTTATTTTAGCCAGGATGTTCCAGACCAAATTTAAGACACATTTCCTTCCAAGGTTTGTATTCCATTTTTTTTTTTTTTATTTTTTTTTTAAGATTGAGGACCTTGATTCAGTTTTTACATTCAGCACTTCTTACTGAGGAGATGGAACAGCTCATGAGCCTTGCAGGTACCTTCTTCTGCTCTGAGCAGAAGTCTGTGAGCCACTGGTGTCGAAGGGCATCCCCAGAATCATAGAATGGTTTGGGTTGGAAGGGACCTTAAAGATCATCTAGTTCCAACCCCAAAAACCCGCCATAGTCCTTTCTGCAACTAAGATAAAAGGTGAAGTTTGCCAGATTCACTTGGGGAGTAATTACAGCTCTACTACTGAGAATTGCTGCTTCTGCATGTAAAAATAGCTGACAATATTTTTAAATACTCATTTTCAGGTGCTGGGGGAATTAATTTTTTAACTACTGTAGACATAGTAATGTAAGTTTTAAGAAAGATTTTATTTTTCTCTATGGACAAATTTACATTAAAAGTTTGCTTTCCTTTAATGAGCATTATTTTAATCACCATTCATAAACATCTCCAACATCTTCTTTTATTTCCATAAAATACCGTGCAGCTATGAGCATTTGTCATTGATTCTCACAGCACTCCTCATGAGACCGGTAGGTGGGCATTATTATTATCGTACAACTAGAAAAACAAAGGCAGGCACGTGGAGTTTTAGGCAAAGCTAGTACTGTATCTGGGTTTAGACTTGGTTCTAGTTTTCAGTCTGCTCAGTTTGCTATAGACCTTCAGTGTGTGACTCCTCTCCTGCATTTGCTTTTTCTCATGTCTCTATTCTACCAGGTACAGAAAACAGAGATGAAAAAGCTGTCGGGAAATGTATGCAGCAGAAAGGACTTGGTGATCTTAATGTTAAAGAAACGTGTACATAAAAGTATACAGATTATATAAATAATGTAAATTTCTATATGCATATATGTGCATATATACAGTATATGGGGGGTAGTATACGTATGTAACTAGGAAGATCTTTAGGGTTATGGGTTGCACTATGGATAGCTTTATAGCCCATACTTGTCTAGCTTATTGAAATGGCTTTCTGTTCTCTCCTTTCCAGATGTTTTCATGTCCTAAAGGTACTTGGGACCAATTCCCTCCTGCTAGGTCTCTACTGTGATTTAAATGGCTACTAAACAGATACTTTAGGGTTTAACAGACCTTCCCAATTAATAGAAAGGCTTTGCTTAAAAAAGAAACCATCTTAGTACTGGTTAAGGAAGCCTTCCTTCATCATTTACAAGTAAGATCTGAAGGAGGCCACAAATCTGGCCACCAAAGCCCTGCCATCCAGTCATAGTCATCTCAGTGCCTGTTTACATGGGCTGTAAACACTTCTGTGCTCTAGCACACATCTTTCCAGGGGTTCAGACACTTTTGACTGGTGAACTACATCTGTGATCCTACATCCATGACACCTACCATGCATGGCACTGCAAATGGTGCTCCTTATCTCTTCCAACCACCTGTTTTCCTTCCCTTCTCAAAACCATGCTTCACATTACCAGTTTCATTTTTCCAACTGTAACAGATTCCACCTGACTGTCAACTGGAGCAGAGTTTTGCAAACCCTTGAAGCAAACATTTCTGTGAATGTTAATGACCCTGTAGCTTCATTTTGTATTATTAGAAAAGTGCTGTGTCTACCCAAGTTCAGTGGTTGCTCCAAGGTGCTTCTGACATGCTCCTGCTCTCTGTGATAACTTGTCTGTGTTTGACGTAGAGGCAACCAGGAGGGCTCCATGGGTGACCCCGACTTTGTGGTGGTGGATGGTGTTCCTGTCATGCTGCCTTCCTATGATGAAGCTGTAAGCAGTGGCTTGAATGCTCTGGCACCTGGATACTCAGCCACCACAGACCAGGGGCATATTTTACAGACAGAAGATCAGAATCCTCCTGCTTACCCCGGCCCCCGGATTACAGACATGCTGCCTAGTGAATTTGAGACCTGTGACAGTAGGTTGGGCTCCTCTGAACTGCTCCAAAGTTTGTACCCATCCCCAGCGTGCCAAGCGGCAGCGCTTCCCGGTTCAGATCGAACTGATGGATCCCGCAGCACTGCCGGGGAGGCTGTATCCACAAGTCCACGGATCGATATTGCAGATGGTGAGTCTTGCGTAGGTGCAATAGGTGAGTCCATAAACAGGAGCCATTTGTTTGTGCTGTCAGAGCAGGAATATAACAGCTGACCTACTCCTGCTTTCTCCGTGGTTTTGACCACATTTTAATTTGGACATTTTTTAAACCATACTACCCATGATCATAGAGCTTCGTGTCTGTGATATGTCCTTGCTAGCTGTGGGTTTGAATCCCAGGCCAGAAGGTTTCTCTCCAGACCAGCAGACTCATTAGGCACCTGTGTAGAGCAGCAACACCAACCATCATCTTGCCTGTCTTGGTCTGTTCATCTGCTCCTCAGCTCCTACACTCACAACTCCTTCATGTGCCATGGCCTTCAAAGCAAAGAACAGGATTTTCTCCTTAAAATGGAAAGCATGTCACGTTTTCATACTCAGCCAAAATTAGCAGCCTTTATTAACAAACTCATCATGTCTGTGCGTACAGCAGACTGTTCGGTCTGAGGCATGTGTGCGTTAAGCCATGGACATGGGAGTCACAGCATAAGGGGAATGTACCCACAGGGCCATATATGACCTGCATTTAAATTGAACATGAGCATGCATTGATATCATTTCATTGAGTTCTAATGGAGCTGTATGGTGTGCTGCTCAGTGTGTTAAGAAAACTAAATAGCTTTCCTTGGAGACATTTAAAAGGAGTGGCTCTGATCCTGCTCTCCACAGTCACTGAGAGTCAGTGGGCAAAGCAATCTCTATGTGACTTACCAGTAGAGGTATCCTAAATTCAGTGTAGGTGAAGCTTTAGGTGAAGGAAGCCTTCCTGCTTCATAGGGTTGTGGCTACCTTGTGGTGACATCATGAGGGGAAGAGGACAGCTAGAAGGAGGAGGGGAGGATTATGATAATGCCATTAAAAGTCCCTGCCTACTCTGAATGCCGATTCAGTGATTACTGTAGTAGAAAGGATGTTTGCATTTAGGTTTTTTTGGGCCTAACTTGTTTTAGAAAACCTGGGTAGTTTTAGTAGATTAATTTTTCATATAGGTGTTAGAGCGTAAGAGGATCTAGAATTGGCGACACCGTGTGTCTTGTTCAGATTTTTACAATGTCCATTTCAACTTTTCGGAATTGCTAATTCTAATACTCTGCAGAAGTATAAAGGACAGTTACAATCGGCAATCAATGCTATTCCTTTTTCTTGCCTAGAGATCCCTTTGATGGAAGAAGACCCTTAGCCTGCACAGAGACGTGTCTTCATTGCACTGCCCTGTTGGATGACATGAATCACAAGGATTTAGAGACAGAAATGACTGTCTGTGGATTTGGGGAGGGTATTTTCCTACTTATCAATCTTCCACACCATGATGTCACCAGATTGGGTGTACATCTTAATCCGCAGCAGAGATAACAGCATCAGCATTTGGAACAGCAGCAGTTTTATGAATGAATCCTGGGGATTTGATGAGAGCAGATGTAGAAAAAGAACTGTGGCTTTTTAGAAATGAAATGTATATCTGCATCGCAGAAAGTCATATGGCTCTGTAAGAAATACTATTGGATTTTGATACTAACTGCCTCACAAAAGCATGTCGAAGTATGTAAATTTGCTTATAAAGACTGCTTTAAATGATCTATGGACCTCTAGTTTACGACGAATCCTTACAATATAAAAAAATACTAGTACTGAAACACAAAAAAAGAGGAAAGATCCTCTTTGGCTTTCCTAGGATAACCAGGAAGCTTTTGATTTAGTTGTTGGTGATTTTGTTTCAGACTATGTCTGCAGAAAATATAACAGAAATGTTGGGATTCATATATACTTTGATGTATGATAGCAAATATATATAAATATATATATATTTAAAAACTCTTAAAGAGAAAGAAAAGGAAAGACTCCAGGTCACATAATGATCTGGAGATTTTTTTAAAGGTAAGGCAGAATTTATATAATTACAATATTCAAGGTAAAGTATCAATATTTGTATTTATGCAAGACTTCTGTGACTACATTGCATTTGATAAATCCTGCTATAATGAGAGATCTAGAAAAAGATAAAATTATTAAATATGTGCTTAAGAAATGTTGAACTGCCCTGCTTCAACCCTTCTTAAGCCCCTACAAGTCTATATATACTAGAGTAATCTACAGTCATAGCCCAGAACACTGCCTTGTCCCTGTACATTCTGGTAGTATTCTGAGCCATTATTGTAGAATACTTTAAAAAAAAAATAAAGTTCAGTTTCAGTTCTTTTGACTTACCCAACTGTGTTGCCTTTTTTTCCCTTCCCCACTTCTTTCACCTGCTCCCACCTGAAGGCTGAGATGGCAGCTGAACACCTGGGGCGGGGTGGTTTTGGTCAAGCAGAGCACATGAAATGGATGCAGCAGTGGCATCGCTTCTGCCGATGCTCCACAGCTTCTGTAGATGTTTTTTTTCTCCTCTGCATGCTACACCACAACATTGTGCTAAAGCCTGTAGGAATGGTTCACCTTTATGGGGTTACAGGCTATTCGGTATTTGTCAGGAAAATTCCTGGCTGTTTCATATGCTTATGGAAAGCCAAGCAGATTTTCTCATCTTATTTTTGGTATTGCACAAATGAAACATATGTTAAACTGTCAGCTTTTGAAGGAAGAACTCGCCATATGTTAATGATAGAGATTGCCACCACGTGGGCTAATCCAAACTGAAGGAATAAATGAGACTGAATTCTGACTTTATGTACAAAGTAAACCAATAGTACCTCTATCTCCCGAAACAGGGGATTGCCACAAGTTGCTCTGTTATTTTTTCATGACTGTTTAATTATTTATTTGTATTGCTGTAGCATCTAGTGGCCCCACTCATGAGTCAAGCTAGTAGAGTGAAAGATGTGCTGCAACCATTCAAGAAAGGGTTTATTAGCATCCTGTCAGCAACTGTATATGACAACAAGAAGCAAACAGAGACAAAAAACTGTAATGGAGAGGCAATTATTACAATAATCTCAATTATTCTGCAGTATCATTGATGATTGGCATTCAAAGATAAGACATAGTCCACATTGTCCTCCATTCTTGCTTACATAAGATTTTCATTTTTTTTTCTGCTGACATTGTCTCAATTGCAGTCGTATCTTCAGGTCTATCCCAGAGCTGTATCTATCAGGCATTGGTACTTTCTTTGCTACCCCTTCCCTTTTAGGTCCCATGCTTTCTAGAGGTGTTTGCACTACCATCTGAAGTTCACCCCAGCAAATGAGACAAGAGTGCTGTAGTATCAACCTTGAATTGAAGCACATCTCAAGCCTAAAGTCAGTTAAGTGATTTTTGTTTCATAATGTCACTGAAAAGTATTGAATTTACTTTAGATGCCGTATAAAACATTATTAAATCTCTCTTTGCTGGTCTTTTAACAGCTTGTGAAATTTCATTCCTTATAAATTCCTGGACTTGCATTTATTAATTTCTGTTATGAAAGCTTCTGATTAATATTTGGAGCTCTACAGTTTTACAGATTTACACTGCTCTATGTATTGTACTGCAGTCATTTTGTTAAGGGAGCCAGACAGGGTAGCTTAAGAAATGTAAATTTATGGCTTATTAGAACATTTTTATTCTAAAAAGTGCAGAACTGCAGATACACTAGAAAATGTTGATGTATTAATATTGCTTGATAGTCCTTTGATAGCACCAGACTAAATATAACTTCCAAAGGTAAAAGAGAGGTTTTTTACCATTTTTTGCTTATGATATTGTAAGACTTCCTGAAAGGGCGTTTAGGGGCGATTACTTGTGTGGTTGAGTTTGGGGTTTTTGCATGCTTGAATATTTGGGGGAAAAGACAGGACTGTTTCTGCTGCTTTTTTTTTTTTTCTATATGGGGCTTGAATCCTCATGACAGGTCTGCCTGCTTCCAGATCTGCACCTGTGACCTGACCCACCAGATGATGCCCTGGGCTGAGGGCTGCCCCAGGTGTCCACCAGCCTGCCCAGCTCCCTGGCCAGCCTGAAGAACCCTGCAGCTTCCTGGTCTAAGACCTCAGGTCAGCCTTGAGCACTCCCTAAGCCTCAGCAGCCAAACCTTCAGGAGGGCCCTGAGAGACTGGAAAGCTGGTAAGATCATGACAGTATGTTTGCTGTGCAAATGAAACCAGATGGGAGGATGAGCATGTCTTCGGCAGATCATAAGCTGTTTTCGCTTGAGCTCACTGGATGTGAATAAAAACAAACCCAGAAAGACCCTTGTTGGTGAGGGGAGAAGCAGCATGTTAGTGAAAACGGACAACCCATGCATCTTCAGCAGGGGGAGGAAAGGGTACATACTGAGAACTCCAGGAAAGAAAAACAAGAACTGGCTTCACCCTGCCAATATTTTTAAAAATGAGCAATGTGTCAGCCTTCAACACGAGGGCTTGACCTGCACAGTGCTGGGGGAAGGGTGGAGATCCAAGGTCTTGCAGCAGCTCTGCAGGGAGTGAATCACAACCTGAGCATGAGTCAACAGGACCTGGCTGTTGTGAAAATGTTAAATGTCAATACGAGGATGTTTACACAGAACTGTAACTTATAAAATGCATGAAGCAATCCTTCAGCTCCACTCAGCACTAGTAAGGCCTTAGCTAGAGCAGTGTGTCAAATGCTGAGCAGATTTTTTCCTCTTCAAGGGAAATATGAAGTAGCTGGAGGGAAGCCAAGCAGAGAGGAACAAGAATTATTAGAAGTTTGGAAAAGCTTGTCCTCACCAGTCACATTAGAGATCTTGTAGTATTCAGTGTGAACAGCAGAAGACCAAAGGGGACACAGAAATTTGGTTTTCTTTAAGAAGCATATTTTGCAAAGAAGGATGAATTTATCCATATAAGTAGGACAAGAATAATAGGCTTAATTGCAGCTTGAGAGATAGGTTGGATATTAGGAAAAACCTTCCAGCCACAGGGAAGGCTACAAGCAAAGAGAGATGGTCTGAGGAAGCTGTCAAAAACCTCTGTTATGAGAGATTTTTAAAGACTGTTTTAAATAAATAGGGCCAGGAAAACATTGGGGTGAGATGTACTACGTGAACTTCTGGGCCCCTTCTCTTTCTGTTTCTGTGTGATTCCTGTCTTGTGAGAAGTAACTTGGCTGATGCATGGTTTTCCTCATATATAGTCATTGCAAACCGATAGTACTGGGCAAACTGGTCAGCAGTTGTCAAAATCACAGCCAGAAATACTCTCTATTCCACCAACAGAAGCTTTTTGTGTTGCGTGGGCTAAGCTCCAGTAAAATTCTGTGAAGTAAACCCTGTTGCATTAGTGACATTGATTTCAGAATTTTGTTCTGTGACAAATCCAAATTTGGGATTTTCTGGTCTTTATGTCTATCTTAGGCAGTTAAATGAATGCAGCCCTTCTAATACTCCTTGTGCATTAGGTAAAGTAAATCCTCTCAGCAATTATCTGAAGACACTGAAGGAGTTCAAGGCAAAACACCAGCTCAGGCACTGGAGTGCAGAGACCATTGTCATGTTTATGCAAAACTTGCTTCCCACGTTCCAAAAGCCATTTGTTCCTCCCTGCGCTGTGCCGCAGATGGTAGCACAGCTTACCCCATCAGCTGTCAGAGGAAGAGTAGCACAGATGAGAGAAGCACATCTCAAACTCCTGTTCTTGGTCTCCTGTGGATTCTCAGGGAGGACTCTGGGGCAAGAACTAGAATGCTGGGAAACATCTGCCCCAAAGCCAGAAGCATCTCCCATTGTCAAGGGCTTGTCCAGTCCCTCTGACATGGTTCCCCAAGGAATTGGTCCACAGTAGAGGGGAGACACTATGGTGGAGGGAAGGCACTACGGGGAGACAGGGGAGACAGACCCCGCTTTGCCTATTGCTCTCCCAGGACAGGGTGTGCAGCCAGAACAGACAGACAAATCCTTCTCCCCCAGAATTATGCATGTAACTTGTTTCATGCATTCCAAGATTTCTCTTGTCTCTACCATTATATAGTAGCATGCAGCCTGTTCTTCCAGCCCTGCCTTTTCCAGGACAATAAGATGTTATTTAACAATAACAGAAAGGGTGTTAGCTTGAGATTAAATTATTGGCTATCCAGGTATCAGAGCACAGTTTTAATTCACATAGACCCCATAGAGAAGCTGGACTGGGATTCTCGGGGTAGTTTTCCTCAGCAAGGCAAAGGGACAGTCCTGCAGGGCAGGGGGAGCTGCTATGTGGGGACATTTTGTAACCCAGGAAAAGTGGGTTCACCCAATAAAATATGTTACACAGAAATGTGGAGAAGGAAGAAAAGCCATTTAAATTTTAATGAAGTCCAGGGGGTATATGGGTAAGTTCCCCATTTTCTCCAGTATGAACAGAGGGAGCTATTTTCTTAATACAGTTCGTTCAAAAGAAAGTCAGAGGCAGGGCAGGAAGACAAGCTTCCTGGTTTGGGGATCCAGCATCTCTTTTCCATCACCTCTGCGTTTCAGTGGTCAGACTGGTACTGGTTGCAGTAAGGGCCTTGGTTTTGGTTTGGATGCCCCTTTTCCATTTTACTGTGTTTGCCTTCTGTTTCCCCACTGCTTATCCTTCTACTCTCTTTTTCCTTTTTTTTTTTCTTTTTTTTTTTAAACTAATACTGTTTTTCCAGTTTCATCCTGCCACCTGACGTCACGCTGGGAAGTGAAACAAGTTGCTTAATTGCAGTGCAGTACCCAGCAGGGCCATGTCCCTCCCTCAGAAGAGGTTGCTCTTATTTGCATTCCTCATTTACAATCTCAGCAGAGAGGACAAGAAGGGGCATGGAGCTCCTTGCTCTGCTGACAAATGGTCCATGAAAATGGTTAGAGGGACACTGAGGGGAGCTACATGCATGATGCATCCATACGCCTCGGTCCCAAGCCTGTCAGCTCGTGATCTTTCATTGGCCCAGAATTCACAGGTGCACGTGAATGCTCCTATACAAACACAATAGCCAAGATTTTTAAGAATTAGCTAATAGTTCAGGGTGTTTCAAAATGAGACATTTTGAAGAGACCTTCCTTCCTGAAAGTGGTGAGCTCACAGCTTCAGAAAATGGGCACTGACACGCTCCAGTTAGGCAGCACAGAGTGCACAGCGGGTCACTTCATCTGTCCACTTCCTGGTGCTCCAGTATGAATTTCTTGTCCCCAGGATTAACTGCTTGAACTAAACCGTTGCCAGTTGCTGAGCTGTCAGGTTCACTTTTTTTTTTTTTAACCTAATTAGGCTAGATTTATTTTTAACACTGCTTGTTACCATCCGCTTCTA